AGTATCTTCTGAGGTTGAGGCTTTTTCATAAATGAGCCGACAGATTCAACTAAGGCGCATTTCTGGTGGTTGAAATTGGATGTGCGGAGGACAGGGAAACGAAACAACTCCAAAAGTTATGAGTCCTTTTGCACAGCCAATCCGTAGCTTCTGGGCTGGCTTTTTTGATTCTCCACAAAATCGTGTCAATTCTTTCTCTTTCTTCCAGACGTGATTTGTTTTCTTTCCTGCCTTGTCCGCATCGCCTCTTGCCATGCCTCCTACAGGTGATGGTCAGCATGGATTTCAGTGGCATCAGTTGGCTTTTTGTGCTTGCTGTGTCGACGGGCAAAGCGATCGTCTTCCTGGCGACCTTCCTGCTCGGCCTGCTTCTGCTCTCCAGTGGTCATCATCGCAACGGACGTCTTGGACTGGCCGCTATCTGCGCCCTCTTCGTCTCCCAACAAAACGACGTCGCCCTGGCATATCCCATCTGTAAGTCGCGACTGCCTGCAAGCCTCTTTCGGCGTGTATTCATGAACATTCACGTATCAATGCCCGTGTTCTGCTGCGTTTTTGGCGGCTTGTACCATCCTAGACTGCCATCGGAGGATGTGGGGGGAAAAAATTTTATACTTTTCGTCGACTCTTGAATCCCTTTGCAATGACCGGCTTCATTTGACTACGGTCGACCCTGAGCTTCGGTATATTTTACTCTAAATTTTCAAATATCATTTCACGAATTTGACGTACCACCACATGACTAAACAGGACTTGGACATGTATTTAGCGAAAAGTGCACTTTAGGGACGATTCTACGACAAGCTACCACTTCGCTGCACAAAAATGGGTCAATTATGAATTGCGCTGCAGGCCAAGCATCTGCCAAATCACACTGTGTGCTGGGAAAGTGTGTTTGCTATTATAATGGTCCATACAACTCATATTTGTTGTGTGTTTCGGTACTATCAGTGGGCCCCGAATAAAAGCTTGCTTTGAAAGTCCCATTTCCCATGTGCTTCAAGTTGGAATCCCGTCAAGTGTGCTAATTCCAGCCGAGATGATAATAAATTTTCGAACGAGGGTATACTCATAGCCTACTCATAGTTGTTATCCAAACCTCGGTAAGCCTTGTATGGGCTCGTTTCAATTGCTTCTGCGAAGAAAAGTTGGGTTTCGAGGAATCTCGTGTTTCATAATTGTTGAGCCTACTTCCATTTCGAGTGAAAGTGTTGGATGAAGAGATTCGAAGGTCAGTTCCACCAGAAGGCGACGGTGGATTCCTCTTGACCAGCTGTCGATTGGCTTTACTGGAAGATTCATGCTGATGCTGTTTCCGAGGCGAACACAAACAGGCACATACAAATACAGAGACAGACAGACTCACATGCATCGAAGTTGACATATGACTTTGACTAACCAAATCACTTTATACTTGATCAAATAGGCCAGATGTAGAGTATATACACCACTTTTCAGGGATTTGCTGGTAAGTTTTCTTGATTCGTTAGCTTGACTTTTGTTGTGACTATGTTACCTTGCTCCGAGTATGTCCGTCATATGATGGACGAAAGCTTAGCACCTTTTCACCGGAATCAAAAGAGATTGCCTTGGAAACAGCGTCTCTCTCTCTTTACCCAACACTTTTATTCGAAATGGAAGTTAGCAGAAGGGATTGAGACTATCCCATACAAGGCTTACCGAGGTTTGGACAAAAACTATGAGTAGACCCTCGTCCGAAAAGGTACTAACATCCCGGCTGGAAGTAGCACACTTGACGGGATTCCAACTTGAAGCACAGGATAAATGGGACTTTCAAAGCGAGCTTTTATTCGGGGCCCATTGCTAGTACCGAAACACACAACAAATATGAGTTGTATGGACCATTATAATAGCAAACACACTTTCCCAGCACAAAGTGTGATTTGGCAGAGGCTTGGCCTGCAGCGCAATTCACAATTGACCCGTTTCTGTGCAGCAAAGTGGTAGCGCGTTGCTGATTTTATGCTCACGAGCCTGGTTCGAGATGCCATTGCTGCTGCGGATGCGATGCAGACGAGGCCGAGCCGGAAGTGGAAAACATTTCGCAGAGCAGAGCTGCGTGAATTTTGGCGCAATTTTGAGCAGCATGTTGAAGTGGCAAATGAATTATCAAGTAGAAAACATGTGGAGGGATTTTCAAGGCTAAAACATTTGCTTTGTTTGCTCAACAATCTCTACATGGCTTCCGTTTTTCATTCACATCCCCGATGCCCACTTATTTATATATTGTCAAATTCGAGCCTTTTTCTGCCAGCTTATAGCCGCCCATTCTTCGAGGATAACTTTTTCCCAGCTTGTCCACAAAAATGTCTGAAACTTAGTAGGTAAAAGGTAAGATCTAAGTGCCAGACGGAAGGTGAGTAGAGACTTTGGCATCGACCGTGTCCAGGTAGTCCAGACAACAGGTTGGTTGTAGAGAACACGAAATCATGCACACAATGTCTGCGAAACCGAACCTAAAGCTCAAAATTCTGATTAAAAACCAAATCTCCTAGCCTCTTAAAGTGGACCTTCTGGCAAACAGTTCTAAAGCCCTGCTGGTGGAAGCCTCTAAGCCCTGAGAAACCTCGGAAATGCAAAACCGGTTCGGCTGACCGATATTGTGTGTTTATATATGTATGTATGTGTGTGTGTGTGTGTTTGTGTGAAGGTAATGGGGAGGGTATGGGGTGAGATTGGTGGGTGAAGATCAACTTCCGATATGCTTCGGTGTCGGAATACAAGTTGCACCAATTTCTAGTTGCATTTTTCACATAAACTTGGAAATATCAACAATACAATTGGCCTCAAGTATTTACGCATCGCTCGTACTAGAGTGTGTTTCGGCTGATCAGAGACACTTTTACAGGAGAAGTGAAGCGACCATTGCTTGTGCAGTTGGGGCGTTGAAGTAAAAGCGTCAACTGTAGCCTCGAGAGGCAGAATTGGATCGGCTTTGCTTGAAGCACCCCTGGGCGGTCAAAGTTCTGCTGGCCTCTCAGTCTCGGGTGCTGACTTTCGATGCGTGTGCTTGCTGTACCATATCTCATCTGACCCTCCAATGCCCTCTTTCGCCGTCTTCCCCACTCACTATTGTCACACCACCTCATGCCGCCGGCCATCGGACATCCGCGATCATGTGCTCCGTGCGTATAGTGAAAACCCTCTTTCCCCAACTCGCCGGCTACATCTACCTCTTTGCGCCTGCTCAGCTGATGGTGCTCAACCCGTTTGCCTATTTCGCGCTTGAGTGGAACCATTTGCGCGACCACGACAAATCTTCTGCCGCCTCGAGAGCATCCTCCGGCCCTAACACCACCGACGAGTCCACCAAGTTTCCGCCGGCAGGCGACTGCGGCAGCGCTGCACACCCACCACAGCTTGTGAGTATTTTTAGGCCGATTAGCATCTGCCATGTTTAGTGTTGGAGTACTTTTGGGTTCGTTTGAAGAGGAAACTAATAGGGATTCATACGTGTGATGTGTGATTTATAATATGTCATGTATCATGCGTAATGTGTATTGTGTGATGTGTGATATGTAATGTGGAATGCTTAAAATCTGATGTGTGATTTGTGATATATGATGTGTGATATGTAATGTGTGATGCCTGATGTGTGATGCCTGATGTGTGATGCCCGATGTGTGATTTGTGATATGTGATATATGATGTATGGTGCATATTGTTAAGTGCATGATTCGGGATGTGAAATGCATGAGGTGGGTTGCATAATGTGTGATGCGTGATGTATGATGAGTGATGTGTGATTTGTGAAGTTTAATGCTTGATATTTAATTTGTTATGTGTGATTTGTTATTTCTGATGGGTGATATATGATGCATGATGCATGATGTGCGATTTGTGATGTGTGATTTCGGCTACGCATTGTGTGATGC